GTCGTGGGCCGCCACAACCTCACCTAGCCTGCTTGCACGGAGCACAGAAGGGGCGACATCACGTATCGCTGGCTCAGTCCGGGCTGCTCTCCCCAAACAATGCTGAGGCAAACCCCCATCCGGCCCCGTGGCGGGACCCGCTACACCTTGCTCCCAGCGCTGGGTAAACCCACGGAACCATTCTGTGGCATTGGAGTCTGAAAGTGCTTCTGGGTAAGGAGTGGCAGCCTCATGCCAACAAGCAATGTCAACTTCCTCCCATGGAATGCGTGCCGGACGTGGCCAAGTGCAGACGGCGCTGGACGCAGAATCCACTCTAAACTTAGCCTCAAACCACATGGTCGGCAAACGAGTGATGAACTGCTAAGCCACAGCACAAGGTAGCGGCTTCCGGTGACAACCAAATGAAATCGTGCCTGGAAGCCCCCTTACAGGTCATTTCAATCTGGCTGCTCCACCTGGCAAGGGCGAGATCCTGAATTTCTTGCCAGCCTTGCTCTCGCCAGATGGCGATTTCGCCACTAGATTCGGCAGGGTGATTGAAATCACCCGCAATTACACGCGGCCCTCTTCTTCCGAATACAATCTCACGTGTGAGGGGCTTGAGGATTTGCTCTGTCTCTGTAAATGCGCTGGGGTGTGCCTGCGACTTGGGCACTCCATACACGACTGCTGTAAGCAAAGGAGTGTCGCTGACATGATGTTGCAAGATGGCCACTCTCCCAGTCTCAAGAGTCTGCGGAGGCCACCTGACCTGCACGGGCCTCGATGGGAACGGGCTCACTGCGCATACACCTGTCCAGGTGCCAGCCCAAGCAGAGCTTGCTCGAAGCGGGGCAGCAGCCCCAAACTAAGTGCGCCATTGCTGATTGCCGGTTTGTCCAAATGCCCGAATTTGGCTCCGGCACGACTTTTGTGCGACGGCCGAGAGCTGAGTCTCGGCGATTAGATATACCTCAAGGCCATGCTCCAAGAGAGCCGCCTCCTTTCCTCGCAAGGCCGAGGGGTTGGTGGAGAAAACACTGAAAGAAAGCGGCATGTCCGGGCCAGGATTGAGGGCCTCACCATACCTGACGCCTACCTGGCCCGTGCAAAGAGGGTCACTGCAGGCAGAGTGAACAACCTGGCATTGCAAGGCGGCAGCAGAAACCAGTTGCGACAACGACATCAAAACCATGAAAATGGGGCTGAATGCATGAAACGGCCTGTGCCAAATCCCCGAAGCGCAGCCGCTCGGCCCTAGTCAAGAACGGCTCCGCCCCTCCCGCTGCTTCTTGGAGAGAAGAGCTTGGAACTGTTCCATCTGAGCACTCAGCTGTGTGCTGAGCTGTGAGTTTAAGTCACTCCTCACGGTAATCAGCCTGGGAGACCGTGTTCTGGACCATCTTTCCCTGTACCGCGACCTGGCCTTGCAGTTGGCTGAGCTCGTACTGCTGGCCCTGCATTGTGGTCTTTAAGGCGCCAACCTCGAGAGCAGTCTGATCCATGCGCTTGCCGGCTTCGGCAAACCAACTCTCAAACTTCTGACCTTGGGTTCGGAGTTCCGTGAGGCTAGTTTCCAGTTGTTGAAACCGGCTTTCGGTCGCCCCATCCAGCTGCTCGCGCTCCGCAAGTGAGGATTGCACTGCCTCATCCACCTCCTGACGCAGCTGCGCATGGACCTCCTGGATCTTGGCTGTGGCACTGGCAGACACTTTCGGGGCGTCACCGTTGCTCTGCTTGAACTTAGCCCATGGATCTTGCCCATTAGCCCATGGGTCCTCAGGCTGTCCACTGCAGGGGGTGATGCCGGGCTGCTAATCTGCACGGGAAGGACAAAGCCTAGGCATGTCGACAGGGCTGCTGAAGGCGGAGGACATTCTGCACCAACGTCCCAAGCAGCACCAGCTGCATCACCTTTTGAAGGCTGCAAGGGCTTCGCAGCCCACTGCCAAGCATCCAATAATTGTTGCAACCCCTGTCTGGTCAACCCATGGGGTAGTGGGTGCAGGCGATACTTCTCCACTACCTTAACACGGGAGAACACATGCTCTGGCCTCAGGGCCCTGAAAGCGACTTCCTCGTCTTTTGAATGAACTCTAACGCCATACTTGTGCCCAATTCTTGTGAGGGCCAGGGCTTTATCTGTCTTGCGCTTGCAGTGCTGCGCCGCTTGGTAATCCATACCCGGCAGCCATATTACAGCATACTCAGGGCTAGGCCCCGTGGCAAGACCCGGCTCCCTAGGCTCCACATAAACACCTGAAGCAGTAGTCTGCTGCAAGGCATCCAAGGCAGACGCAGGGATGCGAAGGAAAACCTGAAAGGCGGTCGCTTCCGACATCGTGGCCTTGTTGCCATTCTCCTGCTGAAACTTTCTGGCCCAGACTTCATGGATCACCGTGTCCGGTGCTTCGTCTATGCCTGCATGAAACTTGAGGCATGCAGAGCCACAGCCTTGACCCCGCCAAAGGTTGAGCATGGGAACGTGCTGCATAAGGCTTTTGATGGGCGCCAACCTGAAAGACTCCCAGTCTCCCTTCCATTGGTCCTTATAAACCGTAACCTTTACAACCCCAGTGTTAACCTGCTCAGTGGAAACCCCACCCTTGGCTGGCAAGACCTTGGCATCCCCCAACTGGATCAAAGTACCGGCAATGAGTATGGGCTCAGAAGTTGTAAAAGCCGTCTTGGCGCTGG